AAAAAAAAAAAAAAAAAATTTATTGTGAACAATGACCGGACTGTTCACGTGAACAGTACTCGGTACTGTTCACTGTTCACGCGAATAGTACTGTTACTGTTCACGTGAACAGTGTAGTAAAAAAAAATTTTGTGATGTTATATATATATTGAATTTTCTTTTTTTGTTACATGTTATAAAAGGCTTATTTGCTTACTTGTCTTCCTAGATAATATTTGTTTAAGGTTAATATTTTATTTATTTATTTATGAATTTAACGACAATATTAAATTAAAAGTTATGAAATATGTGAATGATCTTTGGCACTCAATGACCACCAATCGACCACCCTCCAACGACTCTAAGGTATGTAAAAAGGGTAAGAAAATAAATGTACTTAAAGCTTTTTGCGAGATTTAAATGCTTTAACTTTCCTATCTTTAAATGTTAAGACATGCACGTTTATTTTTCCCACTAAATTATGATATACATTGTCATAGATAACTATAACTTATTAGACTCAGTACTAAGTGTGATTGGTGACTTCATATTAAATTTTAGGAAATGGCACCATCTACTCATACGAATTTGATGCGCGATTTACTACGAGCGGTACAAGAGTTGAGCAGGAAAAATCAAGCACCTCCACCACAAAATGCACCGCCACAGCAGAATGCACCGCATTTTGCCCCTGGAGCTGTCTCAGTGGTTGAGCAGTTTCGTAGGTACAAGCCTTCCACTTTCGACGGTAATTCTGAATCACTGGTTGTCGAAGAGTGGATAAGAGGCCTGGAGCGCATATTTCGACACATTGCTTGTACAGATGCACAGAAAGTATTATGTGTAGAATTTATGTTGATTGGAGCAGCTGGTCACTGGTGGGAATCTGTTTCACGTACAAGGACGGAAGAGCAGCAACATAATCTGACTTGGGAGCAGTTTAAAGATGAAGTGATGGCAAAATATTTCCCACAGGCCTTGAGAGATTTCAAGGAATCAGAATTTTTGCAGCTCAGACAAGGGAGTATGTCACTTACTGATTATGAAAGACAGTTTGAGCAGCTCTCAAGGTATGCCCCGCACTTGGTGGATACAGAAGTTAAGAAGATTAGGAGGTTCGAGAATGGACTGCGCCCTGAGATCGGCATGATCATTATGTCCCATCGTTTCACCTCATATCGTAAAATGCTGGAGAGGGCTCATGCTATTTCATATCAGAGGACCTCATTTGAACAGTACGCCCAGTAGAGCAAGGAGTCATCGGGAAAAAAAAAGTGGAATGATCCAAACAAGGACAGACATGATTGGCAGAGTAAAAGGCCAAACACAGGAGTTCGTATTGGTGGAGCGAGTGGGAATATTACACCGTGTCCTAAGTGTAATAAACTCCACAGGGGTGAATGCTTACTCGGGAAGAACATGTGTTTTCGATGTGGTAAGCCAGGGCACATTGCTCTCAACTGTACAGAGCCACCAAAAAGGAAGGATGATGATCAGGACAAGAACAAGAAAGGAAAGGCCCGAGTTTTCGCACTAAATCAGCATGAGGCGGAGCAGGATCCGAATGTGATATCAGGTACTAAATTATTTAATATTTTAACACACTTGCTTATGTTCTTTTTTTTACCTAGGACTACACATTTTTCCAAATCCGTCCCTTGGTTGTTAGTCTAACACTATAAATTATGCAAACAGGTATTCTATTATTATCTGATGTACCCGCTTACGTACTTTTTGATTCTGGGGCTACCAATTCTTTTATCTCTACATCCTTCGTCGCTAGGTCAAACCTTGCATGTGTGAAAACGAATTATGAATTAGAGCTTAGCATCCCTTCAGGAAGAACTCTTTGTACAAATCTGATGACTAAGGCTATGAAGTTAGAGATTGATGGGAAAATATTACAAGCAGACTTATACCTTTTGGAGATGAAAGATTTCGATGTTATTTTGGGCATGGATTGGTTGGGACTTAATCATGCGACCATTCGATGTCATGAGAAAGAAGTATTATTTCACAAACCGGGAGAGGAAGAGTTTCGTTTCTTGGGAGCAAAGTTCAAGTCTTTACCGTGCCTAATATCAGCTATGCAAGCAGAAGAGATGTTAAGGAAGGAGTCATGCCAGGGATTCTTAGTTAACATCAATAGTTTTCAACATACAGAAATGACCGTTAACGATATTAACATCGTCCGAGACTTTGCAGATGTATTCCCAGAAGATTTGCCAGGCATTCCACCAGATAGACAAGTGGAATTTACAATTGATTTAGTTCCTGGAGCGGCACCAGTATCTAAGGCCCCGTACCGAATGGCACCGAAAGAACTACAAGAATTGAAGTTGCAATTAGAGGAGTTACTGGAGAAATGTTTCATACGACCAAGTGTATCTCCTTGGGGAGCACCTGTACTTTTTGTCAAGAAGAAGGATGGGTGTATGAGGATGTGTATTGACTATCGGGAATTGAACCATCTGACCATCAAAAATAGGTACCCACTGCCAAGAATAGAAGATTTGTTTGACCAGTTAAGGGGTGCTGCAGTATTTTCAAAGATCGACTTGAGGTCAGGGTATCACCAGCTAAAAATCAGGGCAAGCGATATATCGAAAACTGCTTTCAGGACTCGTTATGGGCATTATGAATTTACTGTCATGCCTTTTGGTTTAACCAATGCTCCAGCTGTATTTATGGATCTCATGAATAGAGTATTCCATCAGCATTTAGATCAGTTCGTCATAGTGTTTATTGACGACATACTTGTGTACTCAAAAAACAAGAAGCAACATGAGGAACAACTTCGAATTGTACTTGAAACTTTGAGGAATGAGAAATTATATGCCAAATTCAAGAAGTGTGAATTTTGGCTTGACCGTGTAGGTTTTCTTGGTCACGTGGTTACCGCCCAAGGAATCGAAGTAGACCCCACTAAAGTGGAAGCAGTAACAAATTGGCCAAGGCCGAGTGGTGTGGGTGAAGTCCTCATTTTCTTGGGATTGGCTGGTTATTATAGAAGATTCATTGAAGGCTTCTCAAAAATAGCAGGGCCAATGACTCAGTTGACAAGAAAGGGTGTAAAGTTTCAGTGGACAGAAAAATGTGAAAAATGTTTTCAAGAACTCAAGCAGAGGCTAGTCTCAGCTCCTGTATTGACGATACCTGAAGGTTCAGAGGGATTTGTGATTTACAGCGATGCCTCTAAGCAGGGTTTAGGCTGTGTACTGATGCAGCATGGAAAAGTGGTTGCTTATGCCTCGAGACAGTTGAAGCAGTATGAGAAAAACTATCCAACGCATGACTTGGAGCTTGCAGCAGTTGTTCACGCCTTAAAGATATGGCGTCATTATTTTTACGGTGGGAAGTGTGAAATTTATACGGACCACAAGAGTCTCAAATACTTTTTCACACAGAAGGAACTAAATATGAGACAGAGGAGATGGTTGGAGTTAGTGAAGGATTATGACTGCACAATTCATTACCATCCGGGTAAGGCTAATGTAGTTGCAGATGCCCTAAGCAGAAAGACAAGAACACAGTTAGCAGTTTTACCCACAGTACAGGAACACTTGATAAGGGAGTTTGATAAATTGAGATTGGAAGTTATCACGCCGCCAACTCAGATTTCAGCGAGAATAAGAGCATTCATGATTCAACCTACACTTCGAGATCGAATCAAGGAGGCACAGGATAAAGATCCATTTTTACAGAAGATAAAGGCCGAGATTGGTACAGATAAACATATAGGGTTTGAAGTATCTGCAGATAATGCGCTAACTTTCAAAGGAAGACTGTGTGTACCTAAGGATGAAAGTATAAGAAATGAGATATTAGAAGAGGCTCATTCAACCCCTTATTCTGCTCATCCAGGTGGTACGAAAATGTACCGAGATCTCCGAGATGTATTTTGGTGGAGAAACATGAAGAGGGGAATTGGTCTGTTCGTGGAGAGATGTATTATCTGCCAACAGGTTAAGGCAGAACATCGAAGGCCATCAGGATTACTGAAACCGTTGGATATTCCAGAATGGAAATGGGAACACATAACGATGGACTTTGTGGTAGGCCTCCCGAGATCAGCAAAAGGTCACAATGCTATCTGGGTAGTGGTGGATCGTCTGACGAAGTCAAGCCATTTTCTTCCAATTAAAGTAAACTTTAACTTGGAACAGCTGGCACACTTATACATCAAGGAGATAGTCAGGCTGCATGGGGTCCCAGTCACCATTGTTTCAGATAGAGACCCGAGGTTCACATCTAAATTTTGGAAAAGTTTGCAGATAGCCATGGGGACAAAACTGAAGTTTAGCACAGCTTATCATCCTCAGACGGATGGACAATCAGAAAGAACCATCCAAACTTTGGAAGATATGCTAAGGGCATGTGTTTTGGATCTTGGAGGTAGTTGGGAGACACACCTGCCGTTGGTGGAGTTTGCTTACAACAATAGTTTTCAGGCCACTATAGGAATGGCCCCGTATGAAGCTCTTTATGGTAGAAAGTGTAGATCCCCTATCCATTGGGATGAAGTCGGGGAAAACAGAATTTTGGGTCCAGAAATCATTGAGCGAACAGTTGAGGCAGTGGATAATATTAGGGCAAGAATAAAGACAGCGCAATATTGACAGAAAAGCTATGCTGACAGTAGAAGAAAGGATTTAGAATTTCAAATAGATGACAAAGTCTTTCTAAAGGTAGCACCAATGAAGGGTGTATTGAGATTTGGAAAGAAAGGGAAGTTGAGACCACGGTTCGTCGGACCTTTCGAAATTCTTGAAAGGATTGGTAGTTTAGCTTACAGACTTGCCTTGCCACCTGAACTAGCAGCCGTGCATAATGTGTTCCATGTTTCGATGCTCAGAAAATATGTTCATGATCCCGATCATGTGGTAAGTTATCAGACATTGGATGTACAAAAAGATCTATCATATGAAGAAATTCCGAAGGTAATTTTGGAAAGAAAGGTACATCAACTTAGGAAGAGAGGAGTTCCACTGGTTAAGGTGCAATGGCGAAATCATGGACGAGAGGAATCAACTTGGGAGAAAGAAGAAGAGCTTAGAACCAAGTATCCAGAACTTTTCGATTAACCAAGATAAATTTTCGAGGACGAAAATATTTAAGGAGGGGAGATTATAATATCCCGAAATTTTATAGAATATAATTTAATTTTATTTATGCTATATTTTTAATGTTTTGAAAGTTTAGGGACTAGAGTGTATATAAAGTAAACTTTAATAATATTTAGATTAAAATACAAATATTGACGGGACGATGATAAGTATACGGATATTGGGCTCGTTGGATAGATAATAATTAAAGACGCATTTTAGACTCGAGAAAAAAATTAATTTGGGTTAGTCGAGCCCAAGTTATCGAAGCCGGAAGATATAACATTAAAATATTATTTTTATTACTTTTGTTTGGAAGAATTTACGTGGAGAGAGAAATGAAAGTTGTTGAGATATTTTATTGTTTTATTATTAATAATAATATTTTATTAAGTGTGTTTTGCATTGGGAGGTCTCACGTGAAGTAAGATTCTAAGTAGGTGGTAGGTAAGTAATAATTGATTTGTTTATTAAATGAAATAAAGTAGAGAGAGAGAGAGAGAGAGAGAGAGAGAGAGAGAGAGAGAGAGAGAATTATGGGAAGCCACGTTCCTAATGGTTAAAACAAATTCCCTTGTATATATATGGTGTACTGCCACGTGTAAGATATAACTTATTTTTTTAAATTGTGGGCAGTTGGCAAGATTTGGGTCAAGATTCTGTTTCAACTATTTTGATCCATATCTCTTTCCCCACTCCCACACGTTTCCTCATTTTTTTTATATAGATATTTTTATTATATCATATGAAAACAATAGCTTTCATTCACTTCACTGTCATATTATTGCATGATAAGGCAGAAAGAAAAGAAAAGATAGTTGCAAAGTGATTTTGGGTTTTCTTATTCCAAGAAATTGTTGGAGCGTGAACCTTGTTTTGACTTCCAAAATTTAAGCAGTTTAACAAGGTAGGATATGAGGTGCAGTATTTTTTTTTAATTTCCCGTTTAATTATTTTGGCTACATGTGGACGAATTTCATATTTATGAAAGTTACGATATTAATGCTATGATATGAATGATATGGCCATTCCGGTACAATGAAATGAAATGAGATGATATGATGTGAGCTCTTACCGGATTTAAAGTTATGCGACGGTATGGTATTCTGACACTTGTGTTAAAATTATTTTTGGGATCGCACCATTAATGTAATATCCTACTGAGTATTCCCATGTACTTACCATTTTCCTACACCTCACAGGTTAGATTGGGTCCTGTTGGAGCGTAGTGGTTCGATGCGTGGTTGTGCCTCATTTGCTGGACGAGAATTTATAATTTTAACAAGTAATTTTAATTCATTGCCATAGACATCCTATTTTAAAGATTTAGTTATCAATTATGTTTATTTGCTACATGGATGTTTTTTTTGTTTAATTCATTTTAAATAGAGCTCGAACTATATGTTACTGTTTTTATCGATTTTAATGGTTAAAAGAAAATTGATTAACTGTCAAATTCACATCAAAGACTTTTGCATTTTGCTAAGGCATCTACAGCCTTTTCAAGATTTATAATATGCATGGCCAAAACAATGATTCTGTACTTCACACCAAATTTTCAATTGTCTGCCTCCCACAGTTAACTTTATGCAGTGGAGTTGTATTATTCATTTGTACTTTGAATTGGATTTTATGATAAAAATATTCATAACCCATATTCACTAATCATGCTAGTATAAAAGATGTTAAATACGGTCAAATGTCATTTCATTTTAAGATGATAAATATCAAATTTATTAATTATGTGGTTTCCAATAAATTTGATCATTTTATAATAAAGTTGGCAGCGACTAAAATAATAAAATAATAATAATAATAATAATAAAATAAAATAAAATAAAAATTTGGGTCGTTACAGTTTGGTATCAGAGCATAGGTTTAATTTCCTGTAGACCCACATGGATTCTCATAATTTGTAAAAAAAATAAAAAATAAAAAATAAAAAATAAAATATTGTGAACAGTGACCGGACTGTTCACGTGAACAGTACTCGGTACTGTTCAATGTTCACGTGATGTTCATGTGAACAGTGCATTAAATGGCAAAAAAAAAAAAAAAACGTGTATTACAATGCCACCTCCTTTTATCATCATATGGTATCTTTAAGTTTTCAAAATTTTAAGATTTCCCTTATAATTTTGTGAATGCATGCAAATATACATTATTTCTCCTTAAAAAAAAAATGATGAACAGTAAGGTTACTGTTCTCGTGAATAGTATCATGTACTGTTCATGGTGTTAGAATTTGATCGAATTAATTGTACGTGAAATGCATGATTCTGCCTATATGTTATAATTCGTGCGGGGCATATATATATGTATCAATAAGCATGTGTGGGGATTATATGATATATACGTTGGAAACTACGCCCATGTTTTAACTCCATAGTCCTGCCCACTTTTATAATTTTTAATGGTAAATTAATTGTTTAATGTTGGAGGTGACATACTATGTCAGAGCATTTAATTATTGCCAAAAATGTTGAAATTCAAAGGTCAAACTATCCTTTTAACATTGAAAGGTGTGTGCAGGTTTACCTATATATACATTTAATACACCTTGATGATTGTGTAGTTTTGTGTTTCAAAAAAAAAAAAAATATTTATTGTGAACAATGACCGGACTGTTCACGTGAACAGTACTCGGTACTGTTCACTGTTCACGTGAACAGTACTGTTACTGTTCACGTGAACAGTGTAGTAAAAAAAAATTTTGTGATGTTATATATATATTGAATTTTCTTTTTTTGTTACATGTTATAAAAGGCTTATTTGCTTACTTGTCTTCCTAGATAATATTTGTTTAAGGTTAATATTTTATTTATTTATTTATGAATTTAACGACAATATTAAATTAAAAGTTATGAAATATGTGAATGATCTTTGGCACTCAATGACCACCAATCGACCACCCTCCAACGACTCTAAGGTATGTAAAAAGGGTAAGAAAATAAATGTACTTAAAGCTTTTTGCGAGATTTAAATGCTTTAAATTTCCTATCTTTAAATGTTAAGACATGCACGTTTATTTTTCCCACTAAATTATGATATACATTGTCATAGATAACTATAACTTATTAGACTCAGTACTAAGTGTGATTGGTGACTTCATATTAAATTTTAGGAAATGGCACCACCTACTCATACGAATTTGATGCGCGATTTACTACGAGCGGTACAAGAGTTGAGCAGGCAAAATCAAGCACCTCCACCACAAAATGCACCGCCACAGCAGAATGCACCGCATTTTGCCCCTGGAGCTGTCTCAGTGGTTGAGCAGTTTCGTAGGGACAAGCCTTCCACTTTCGACGGTAATTCTGAACCACTGGTTGTCGAAGAGTGGATAAGAGGCCTGGAGCGCATATTTCGACACATTGCTTGTACGGATGCACAGAAAGTATTATGTG